AAAAAAAAAAAAAAAAAAAAAAAGTGAAGCAGAATCGCCTTTTATAATAAAGCGTTCGTTTTTTCGCTTCTTCACTTTTTCTCGCTTCGCTCACGTCCTTCAGGCGAGATAAGCTCGCCTCGCCTCGCTTCTTGCCTAGGCACTCAAAACACTGTTTGAGCCCATATATTTTTATCTTGGTTATAGATATAACTAGACACATTCAAGATAGGATTTCATTGAGTTTGTTATTTGTTGATGAAATTAATGTAACAGTTCTTCGTAAAGGAGCTCGAGAATCAAGAAAAATTTAAGTGGAACTTAAATTAAATGGGTGGAATGGAACTAGTATAGGTAGAAATCCAAATGAGATAATAGTAAAGATCACATATCAAATATAAAAGAGTGAACAACTTCAATAAATAGGGTAGGTTATTCAGGTGAGATTCGAGATAAATTAATTGTTGTGCATCTGCTAATGTGGTTTGTGTATATCTATTAACAGAAAAAGGGTTTTATACATGCGGTCCGGGAACGCTTTGGGGTGAACACTCATCCTAACAAGTAGGGTCAATAGTTCTGCATTTAGGCTGTTACCTTTGGCAACAAAATCTTTAACCCAACAAGTGCTCTCTGAACCAAGCTAATAGTACATAAAACCAACTATGCTTAGTAGAATAAAGTGTTTAGCGAAGAAGAAACAACATGTTCAAAAACTAAGAATGGATAAAATGTACTATTAAGATGGATGTAAAGTAACTCGTGAAAAAGATAGAATCATGAATGAATATGTTTACTAAAGTATAGACTTAGCACCCTAGGAGATAAACTAAGAGAGACTCAACTAAAATAGTTTGGACATGTTTAAAGAAGACCAATAACTAGACCAGTAAAAAAGGTGATGAAATACATATTATTGGCCATGGTAGTGGTAGAGGTCAACCAAAATTATTATTGATTAAGATATTGAAAAAAATAGGATAGCGAATGGGTGGCTAGTCATCACTATGTAGATTCCTTGGCCTTCATGTGGCTGTGTAATACATGAAATGTATTCTGTACTCCGTTTATGCAGGAAATTGTTTATCCTTTTTGTGACTAAGGGCAGCAATGAAGTTTTCTCATTTTTGTCTCTCTTTGCATGCAATCTTGTAAAGTTTCAAGATGCAATTGCTAGCACATCTGGCCGTGTGAAACTTATTGATTCAATGGACGGAATTACAAAAGGGATTCAACAGGTAACATTGTTCACGTTTTCTTTTTAATCTGAAAAAGTATTTGGTAGTTTACAGTGGAAACAGAATGTCATTGCTTGCTAAAAGTACAACTCCTCACCAAACCCTTCAGGGACATAAGTTTTCAGATAGAGCTGCTATGGAACTGAACAGGAAGCAGCCAACTTACGCACTCGAAACATTGTACAACTGCCAAGATTAAGAATGATGCTTGTGTACTATAATATATAATCTCACTTTGTTCTAAGTATGCTACTTTTTTAATGATTGGTGTTGATGGTCATTATTTGACTTTGGTTTGTTCTTAACGCAAAAGATCATTTGTTTAACAACATTATTGATAACTAATGTTCACTGTTCACACTATAATGAACAGTTTGTAATAGTGGACATGGTCTTCCCATATCTTCAGTGAAAAATAGGAATAGGAAAAATTGTACTAATATGGTACAATATTGGTTAATTTATTTACAACTTACATTTAATCTATCAAAAACAATGCAAAATTTATATTTTTCCCTTCCGGAATAAAATTACAACACACTAGAGAAAAGGACCACTAAAACTACTGAAGATCCTCTGATTGAGTTGTTTTCACAAAATTTCCCTTCCTATGTCTAACTTGTATCATGTGTCACCGTGGCTTCTTTTCTGCTGTTGTCTAATTTTATTTTGGTGTTTCCCTGGCTCTACAGTAAACGAATTTTTCTCGTAGTTCATGTCTTTTTTCCCAAGACCTATTATTGCTGTTTTTTCTCAGTCATGATCACTCGAACATCTCTTGTCTACATTGCGGGCATGTTGTATACAGATTCACACTTCCTTGTCTCCACTTTGACCCATCATTTTGCTCTAATTATCTAGAGTTTCCGTTGCTTAGAGATCTAATGGAGATTTAAGACCCAGTCATTGTCTCTGTACTCTCAATATTGGCCACAAAAATGTATGACAAACACTCTCGCTTTGTATCTTAAAAAAGGAAGTTTCCAATTGTTAAGTACCAGAAATTTCAGTCTCCTAATTTTTAGTGCAGGTATTTAAATCGAACTTGTCAATGTTAATATAGAAGTATGAACCAGTACTACCCTTGGAAAAGTCATTTTCTTCTTATCTGTACATTTTTCCCTTTTGGGCGGAGGATTTACATTTAACAGTAGCTGCTAGTGACATCTGGTTGGGATTCAGCGGAATTTGTCCAGATTTAAATTTGCATAGTGTTAGGATCCATTTTGATATTGGGTCTATTGGCAGTCCTAGTGACCTTTTGTGTTGTTTTTTAATATTGTTTTTAACTTTTTGGTGTGTATTTATTGCTTCATCCATGGTACAGAAGCTGGAAAAGGCACATCTTGCACAACAAGCAGAGCTGACAGTCTGTGATGCTCTCAAGGAGAAGTATGCTGCAGCAATTTCTGAGCAAAGACGCTGCTCTTCTCTCTTAAAAGCTTTCCAGGTATGCACAGACTTTATAAACAATTCGAATCAACAACAGGACTGTAAATCTTTTCACCTATCTTTGTGAGAAATTCGATGAGATCGTGCTAAATAAATATAAACTATTCTTTGATGTTTCCTAATGTTACAGAATGCAATTAATAGACTGTTGAAACCTATTTAAGTTTCAGATCATCTTTGCTTGCAACTTGGAATATGTCAAATTTTCTTAGTTTCACCAGAATAGAGTATTGGATAGGCCTTTTTACAGAACTTCGGTCTTTTCAGGAGCATGTAAAGTTATGAGAGCAATAGTTTCAATGTTTGATGGCTACACGAATGTGGATTCTAGGAGGATAGTCCTCCCCCTACTTCTAAAACGACTAGCCTATGTCACTCTACCAGGACTGTGTATTTGAAATACAGGGAATTGGAACCAAATAAATACAGGGAAATAGGAATTTGGGGTTTCTGCTTTCTTCTGATCCCTTTTTATATGTACTAATAAACATCGAAGAAGGAAGCTAACTACGGCAACACAAGACCGCAACACAAGACCACTTATCTTTTGGAGTTGTGGAAGAGCCCTATAGANTTTCTTCTGATCCCTTTTTATATGTACTAATAAACATCGAAGAAGGAAGCTAACTACAGCAACACAAGACCGCAACACAAGACCACTTATCTTTTGGAGTTGTGGAAGAGCCCTATAGGCTCAAGTCACTTGGTTTTCATATTAAATAGGGGGGGCCAACTATTTTTTTTTCCTTTTGATCCTTTTTCTTTTAACAACAATACACACGTTACTTTCTGAAATTTACTGATTAGATCTTTTGATTTCTAGGAGGAATGTGCAAAGAATGAGAGACTTAGAAGCCACACTTCGGGAATACTCGCATAACATATGAGGTTATGTGAGAAGGGTTGAAGCATCATTGGCCTGTAGGAGTTGTTGATCATTTGCCTGGTGAATTAGGGTCAAAACATAGTTGCAGAATTTGGGTTCAAGGTCTATAGATAGCTGGTAAGTGTGCTTTCTTTGCCCTTTTCACAATCTTCTTGTATTTTTATTTTTCTCCCCACTTGGGAACCTAAAAGGCTGAAGAGAAGAGAGGGAAGTTAGGAAATATCAGCTGACATTCAAGTTGAAAAATGAAAACAGTGGATTGTTGTGGGGGTCTTTTGTTTGTTTACATAGAAATCACGAGATGGGTTGGTATACAGATGGCAGATTGTTGAACATAAAACTGCATTTATGAATTGATTCATGTCGAGAGACACCGTCGCAGACGTTATGGTGGATTTCTGTTAGTATTTTTGAATATGTAGCTGCTACAAGAATTACAAGCGGGTAATTCAGAAACTGTTGGAGTGCTTCTACAAGTCACTTCCTGAATTCTTGTTCAATGCATGAGCATAGGTTTTTAACACATCTTACTAGTGTTCCTATATACATAACGCAAACAAATGTAAACGTGGAGCATTTCATAGTTATGTTTTAGGGTAAATTACATTCACGTCCCTTGAGGTTTGATCAAATGACAAGTAGAGTACTTTTTGTTTGGGAAATAACATTGACTTCCTCTGTCAGTGACGATCGTTCTATCTCCCTAACAACACCATAAAAATGACCATAATGCCCTTAATCCAAAAGATTCTTTACTTTAATTTTACAATATTTAATTGCAAATAGCCACATTGATATAATCGAATTGAAGGAAAAAAATTGTTTAATTAATATAATTGAATTTATCCTAAATGAAAACGAAATTTTACTTATTCCATAAATTTTATCACAAAACTCCAACCAAATATAATCAATTTATTTATTGAAAAATATTTTTTTCTCAAAATCAAATCTAATTAATATTATCCATAATTCGTACCAAATTTGATTAACTTTGTTAATTAAATCAAATTTATCCCAAACTCGAACTAAATCTAAATTAGTTTAATTAATTAGATTAATTATCTCAAAATTCAAATCAATTTGTAAAATTTATTTAATTTTTTTGCTAAACCTCAAATTTAGTTTGGAAATAAACTTAATTACATAATAACCTAATATTTAATCACCAAAAAAAAAAAATGCACAAGTTACCAAGGTTTAACTGCCAATATTGTGGATATGGTTGGTTTGATTGCAAGTATAAGTTAACCATAACCATGATAAATGCAATATTAGTATTTTAAAAAAATGATTTGCTTACATCAGCAAATTTTTCACACCCCTTTAACTGCAAATTGACGATTGGGAGAATTTGTTACCGACAACCGAAGCAGAGGGAACTACAGTGCCATGTGATTATTTGATCAAATCTCAAGGGAGGTAGGTGTGATTTACCCTATCTTTTAACTTCGCCCATATGGTGCTAGCACTTCCGATGTGCAGTTGCTTCGTACCTGAGGGACAGCTGAAGTGGACAAATGAGCATCAGATAAGTAGATAATTCAACTTCTACTAATCGGTCTTGGAGCGATAATAAGTGTTTATTTGCCCAAGTCATACATCAATACTTTGAGTTCGATATTTTTAAAAAGCAAATGAGCATCAAATAAGTAAAAACTTAAAAATTTTTACTAATCAAACTTAGATTGATGGCAAGTGTTCATCTACGCTCTTGGATTTTCAAGATAGAGATTTGGCTACCTATCTTTTTTATCTATCTTGGATGCCGTTATCGGAGTGTTCATCTACGCTCTTTTGAGTTTTTTCAAAATAAGGATTTGGCTATCTATCTTTTTTAGATATCATAAATAGTTCACATAAAAAAAATTATATCTATAAATACTTTAAACCCTATGAAAAGACTTTAAAAAATTTTAAGGCCTCAAGTCAAGGAATATCCCATAATTTATAGTTGTATAATAATAGTTCAAATAAAAAATTTTAATTCATGCCCAAACAAAAAATTTCAACTAAAGTAAATTGGTTTATTAATTCAGCCGTGAAATTAAAAGAATTTAATTTTTTTTTTAAAAAAAAAAAGAAAAAAAACTAACAGTAAAACTAAATCTAATAAAAAATCTAGTCTGCTCCACCAAAAAAATCAAATTTAAACTTATCATCATAGTTTTTTATTCATTCTTTCTCTTTAATCATCAAGTTCAAATATAGTAACAAAAGTTTGAATATAAAATTTTGAAAAATTTATTTATCGTTTCTGCTTTAGCCCAAAAATATCTCAGACCGCCCTTGCACCGCTATAGACCCCGATGACTTGTGAACTGAGTACAACTTTTTGTTTCTATCTGTGGGGGGTGATGATCATCACCTTCATGTGTTTCGAGCTGGTTCTTGTCATTTAGTTTGGCATTCACTGGCTTTTAGTTGTTAGTTTAATGTATTTCATGTGTTTGATTCTAAAGCAGAAATAATTGAAGTTCACAATCACAAGTATAGTTGCTCCCATAATCCAACTCCTTCAATCTTTTTTGTTTTTTTGTGAATACAGACCAGCTTATTTACAAGAAGAGAATCTTTCTTAGATTTCTATCACATAAAGAAATAAATAATAATAATAATAATCTCCTATTGATTTGTCTTCTTCTTCAACACTCCAACTTGGTAGAGAGGTCGGATATATAATCAGCTTCAAATAGTTAGGATAAAATTTTGTTGAGTTAACGTTAAATTAAGTCGGAGATACAACGCTAAAGTTGAGAATCAACATCATGAATTAGAACGCTTNTCGGAGATACAACGCTAAAGTTGAGAATCAACATCATGAATTAGGACGCTGATGAAAAAGGTAAGATTCAGTATCGAGTTTCTTCAACGGTGGATCTTCCATCTCATCGTGTATTAATTGGCACCCACTTTGACTTAAAAGATTTGTGGGAATGTGAGGACATTGGTGATGAATTCATGATAATGACACTATTTGATAATTAATCAAACATTTTACTATTTTTCCTTTCAGATGAGGTCAGGATAAAGATGTTCACATAGAATGGGAGAAAGAAAGAAAGAAAGAAAACGATGTCTTCAATTTCAACTAATTGCTACAACTTTAACCCATTATATTGTTCGTACGGATATATAATATTTTTCTATTAGTTTGTGGCTTTTTCTTAAATGAATAGTTGTAAGTCTACTGTTTCTCGTCTCTTAAACCGTTGTATCTATTTTTGATCTAGCCCTCTTTCAGGGTCTTTAGACCCCGTTTGATGATGGTAATCTTGATTGCGAATGTGAATTGCATTCCTAAATATCTTGATTATCATGTTTGGATAGTCAACTACTCGGTAATCTAATTTAGGAATGAGATTACTATAGTAATCAAATTCTCAATACCACCTCATACACCTATCTTGATTGGGTATTCTAAGAAATAAATCTCATTTTTAAAATTAAATTAAACACTTAAATTAACGTTCTCTTCCTAAATCAATTTCTATTCTAAAATTAAGTTCATTTCTAAAATAATATTAAAAAAAATATTCACTCCTTTAATAGATTATTAATAATAATTAAACACTAATTATGGGATTATTGTGGCAATTAAAACATGGGTATCTCATTACTAATAAGTTTAATTACAATTTGTACCCTCCAACTATGTCTCTTGTTGCAATCAGCTCCCTGTGGTTTCAAATGCTACAAATGTATGCTCTTCAAGTTTCATGTGGATTAAATTAACTAACACCAGTAGCTCAACAAATTAAAGAACCATTACATCCTCCATTTTATACATTATTTCTCGTATTTTTTTCTTCAGATTCCAATTTTTGTTCCTAAAAAAAATAAGAAAACAGAAAAGTCAAGACTAAAAATTAAGTAAACCATTACCATTGCCTCCGCCTCATCATAATGAAGGGAGTGTTTCTACCGAAAGGAGAAAGGAAATGAGATTTAACCATCAAAGATAGGGGATGATGGAAGGATATAAGTGTAAGAGGGAATATGGATGTTTGATACTGGGAAAAAAATAGGTGCAAGTATAATTATCTCTTTTTAACTTTTACCAATTTTTATTATCTAAAAATAACGATTGGAGTTAATTGCAAAAATATTCAAATTTAAAAGGGACTATTTGTTAAAATTAAAATCTGAAAGAGTAAATTACAAACTATCCAAAGTTGAATGAGACATTTCGTAATTAGCCCTTACTAATAATAAGATACTCATTGTCACCCAAACACCACCATAAAATTCTCATCTTTTGATTCTAAATATGTTGGCAGCTGTTTCAAAGTTTTTTTTTTTTTTAATTTTTTTTATCATAAAATATTTGTTTCTCAGCATTGTGGTTTCAAGATTCTTTCAGTATTTTAGAAAATATGCACTAGGTTAATTTGTCATACTAGATTATTTATATTCTTTAGGTACACTTCTTTTTAAGGTTCTTTGTGACAATGCTAACGTAGTTTTGGACTTATTATACGTGTTTTTGATGTAAATTAAAGAAGATATCTCAATTACCCATATGGTGACAAGTCGGGTGGCCCCCATCATGAGATTGAATTTAAACTCGTGATATATTACGCAGTGAATGAACGTTCGTCGCTATTCTAAGTTTGAAATTTCGTAACCTTGCTATATTTTAAAGTCTTGGGTGACCGACCTATAATAATAATTCAGAAAACGATTGGTGGGTCTTTGTTAAACCAAACGATGAAAAGATTAGTGATGCATTTGTGATAATGACGTGATTAAATAAGAAAAAAAAATGGATAATTGTGCATTTACCCATGCTTATTCAATTGGCCCTGATTCCATGCCAGATAAAACCATCACACTCTAGGACAGTGAACATTATTTAATTAGTTTATACCTTGTAATATGTACCACATATTACATATATAATTCAACTTTTTTTAATCAACAAGTAGTGTGATATACATCTAGAGATAACTCTTGTGCAGGGGCGGCTCAACAGTATTAAAAAAAAGTTTAGG